GACTGTCCTGGGGGTATGGCTGGGACTTCCTCCCACAGCCCTGTGCTGGTGCTCAGGCTGTGCTCTGCTCAGGGAGGTCTCCTCTTGTCTCTTCTCCACTACTCACAGCAGTGAGCCATGAGGTGGGTCTGGTGCAGGGGATGGAAGAGTTTCCTCTGCATTGATATCTGCATCTGGACACTTCTCTGGGCTCTGCTGCAGCCCTTTTGTTACCAAGATGGCCTCAAACAATGAGGCAGTTGGCTGGTTTTGCTGAGGATCCCTGAGGTTTGGTGCTGCAGAGGGTGTTGGTATGAGTGAGGTAGCTGGCCAGGATATGAAACAGAAGTGGAAAAGCAATGACCAAAATAAGGAGATGGGATCATGTTTTCTTTCTTCACAGTGCTGGGTGTAGAGAAACCTGAGAGATTTGGAGCCCTTTCAGTCAAGGTGAACTCAGAGCAGGGCTGGGGCAGGCTGTTATGCTGCTCCTGGGCACACAGAGGATGAGCAGGGACATGTGCCAGGCCCTGGTCCTGATGGGCAATTCAGGTGTAAGCCTCATATTTTAACATGTAGAGAGAATTTAGGTAGAGACATGTGAGCTGTGCTGTGCCTGATGGTGGCAATGTGTGGGGCAGCCTGGCAGCCCTTTGCTTCAGTAATGGAGATGTGTGTGCCCAGAAACAAACAAGGGCAATTGAACAAGGTTCAGTGCAGAGTATTTCTCTGTGCTGAACAACTCCACTAAATGCAATATGCAGTTAGTAAAATGGCTTCCATGGAGAGTCTGCAAAAGCTGAGTGTCAGATTTTTTATGCTAAGAAACCTCAAAAAAAAAAAAAAAAAAAAACAAACACCTAAACAAGCAAAACCCAAAATTTTGCCACAGTTTCTAATTTCCCAGAAGCAGAAATGTGATGTTGCACACACAGAATGGTTTGCTGCAAGCTGTGGCTTTGATGAGACAAACCCATGCCATTACCTAATGTCTTGTTACTGCTCACATGCACATGAGGATTTGATGGGCAGTGAAGCCCTGGCCAGGGACTCCAGGGAGAGCTGTTGGTCAAGGCAGATGACCACTTTGCCTGTAAAATAATTGTCCAGAATCAGGACAGGTCCTTGGATATAAGCTAGTTACCCAAATTACCTCATGGTGACAACCAGGAAAATCACCTGTTAGAAAAGGACCCTGTAGACCGAGTGTGACTGCTTTCATTCCATGTTGTCCAGGAGCTGATAGTGGCTTTGGGAGAGGGAGGAGGAATTGAGAGCTTCCAGGCATCTCCTCTGCTCCATCGGGTGCCTTGCATCCCCAAGAACTGCCTTCACATCAGAGAGCAGTGTGAAAGGTTTGGTTTCCTGGGCATCCCAGCTTTTGGGTTTCAGGTGAGCCCAGACAAACTCAGCCACAGACAGGCCGCTCTCTGGGCACAGAGGATGCTCAGTGAGTTGCCAGTAGCTGTGCTGTGCCATCTGCAGCCAGCTCTGCTCCTCAGCACTGCACAGCAGCCAGTTCTAGCCTGAGCATGGGCTGCTGGTAAGGCAGCCAGGTTACTGACAGGCGTGCAGGTGACAACAGCACAGGCTGGGCAGGGTGGGGGGCAGCTCTGTTGGGAGGTTATTCACCCTTGGTTACTTTTTACACCCGTTAGGCTACAGGCTGCAGAGATCCAGAGCTAGCACTAGTGGGGCACTGCAGAAATACCCCCTTTCCATTGCCGTGGGAAGTTCCAGAGTGCCAAACTTTGTGATTCTACTCTAGTAAGCAACAAAAACATAGGGAAGAATTCAGTCTTCTGTTTTTCTATGTTCTGGGCTCCTTCATGACCTCTACATCCATAGTTACACCTCTGCAAGAAAACTTGCCTTCCTGTTTGTGTTTTGTTTCTAGAGCATCCTAACCTCCTTTCTTTCCTTGTTTCATTTCTGGATGAAAATCCAAACCCACACAAGCACTCAGTTTTCCCTGCTTCTGGTGTCCTTGGTTCCCTCTAAATGAAAGGCTTTAAAAGGCTATTTTCCCAGCTTAGTATTCTCTCCCCTCTTGTGCCGGTTCACTGATAACCTCACTGGTGTAAATACAGGCTCACCTCCCCAGGTGCAGGAGAGCAGGACCACACTGCAGCTGTGGAGGTGATGGGAGCATTGCCTTTCCTTTTAGCAGCTGTGTTGGCTTCCATGGTAGAAGGCTCACCTCCTCCAAGCCTGCTGCAGCCTGTGCTGCCAAGGTTTGGTGCTGCAGAGCAGGGTGTCCTCAGAAGTGCTCCTGCCCCACTTTAGTGCCCTCATTCAGGCCTGTGGCAGGCAGAGGTTTGGAGCTGCCCATAAGAGATGGATGGGTGGGAAGGCAGGGTTGGGACACGTCTGCCTGCGGGGGAGGAAGGCTGCCCACTGCACAGGAGGAGGTTTGTGGTGGGGTAGGAAGTGGGGACAGCATCTCTGGGGCCTTGGAGGGCTTTTCTTCCTGAGGAAGCACAGAAAGCTGAAAGATGCTCCACGTGTCTTTACCCCTCCAATAAATATTCTGCCCTGTGCCCTCTAGATGTGAGAAAGAAAATGTGATTAAAAAGGTAAAATGCTTTTATTTGTGAGATATTAGCTTTGTGTAATATGTATTCAAAAGCAGATTCTCATTTAAAGGTTATATTTAATATAGCTCTGCTCCAGTTTTTCTTTTTTATTATTTTCTTATACATCTTTTCACTTTCTAAGGCAATGCTCCAGTGACTACTGCAATATAATAGCTGCTTTCTCTCTCAGTACACAATTTGACAGCATTTATTCTTTCCTTCAGTGAACATAATTACTTCACATATGGAACCTGTGATAGCCTACAGGCATCTGAGAGAAACCAGAATCATACAATCTGTCCCCTTTGTGAGCTTAATTTACATTCACAAGTGTCATTTTAATAGTGCTGGCAACATGTAGGATAAAAATTACAGGTCAGCTGCAGCATGTCACAGGGAACTGTGCTTAAGTCAATAACATGGTATTATTACATTCTGGATAATTTTACAAGGTAGATCTCACAGAAGGAATTTGACCCCTATTTCTTTAGTTTTCTGCCTTTTGGTTTCCTTCATAAGGTAATTCACTTAGAAATGGATGTTGCAAAACTGCAAACATGTTGACAAAGAGGTTAGACGGTAGCAGGCATTTCCAAATCTGAAAGCAACACCTTTCCCTTGCTGTAACTTGTAACAGGGCTTAGAATTGCCATGCTCTGGCATATTTAAAAATTTGCACTGTTAATTCTTGAAATTTGTTTTCCTGATCCGTGTAATAAAAATACTGAGGGGCATAGCCCTCTGCCTTCTCATTTCATACAGTTGACAGAAGTTTGAGCTTTCTGCAACTGATTATTTTTTAGCCAGCAGAAGCAGTCTCTGGTTAGGCATCTTACAGACATTTTGTACAAGAAAAATAGTGACTGTCACAGAGACATGCTGCATACAGACCTGTGTGTGATTCATGATTTAATGTATATATTTATAAGACCTAAAAATAATAGCTCATTTTTTATACGGGCATCTGTAATATAGATAAAGGTACAATAAATAATCCAGTAAACATCAGGTGATTTTTTTTAGTGAAAACTTCTTTGGGGTAGAGCACTCAATTCAAGTATAAAATCAATCTTAGTTACCATTACTGATTATTTTCTGTTTTTCCACACCCCATAATTTACTGCATTTTAAGCTTTCAAAGTTTGTTTAGAGCTTGTACAGTTTGTCCATAGTACTATAACATTCAAAAAGTCCATGTATGCACAAACAAGGCAAATACACCCCCAGGTGCCCCCCTGCACACATACCCAAACACATCCATTTCCCGAACCACACAGCCATTTACTCCTCCTGAAATTTGCATCCTTCTCTTGCTGTAAGCCTTTTTAATCATTTGAGAAACACAAGGGGGAAAACATCTTTTATCTAACGATTCATTTTCATATCACTGACAGTGTTGGAGTTTGAGTGAGTTTTTTAACTAAGCCCACGCACCCGCCCCACTCCCCTCCCCTCAAAAATAAAAGCATATTTTTCCTGTGAGGAGACTAGATAGAACATACATGAATCTACAGTAAAAAATATTATAAACTAGCAGCAAGGAACTGGATGCATAAATAACTAGATATAGTGAAGATGCCCACTACCTGAAGACTTGTAACATGGCTGAGGATGAAGCCAAAATGCATATGAACCCCCAGATAATTGAGGTAAAAATCAGGAAAATTACAACTTGAGTGCATCACATGTTTTTGAGAGTGAAGGTAGGTAGGCACAGAAAAGGATGCGTTTTGAGACTGGTGGAATGCCTATCAAAACTTGGTGTTTTTCTAAAGGATGTGTCCCACTCAACCAGTGGTCTGATGTGGGAAGTCAATCAGTTTTGGTCCACTGTCCATGTTTAAGTCCACCCAGGCCTTAAATCCCCTAAAACACACAGCCAATCTCTGAAGTTTAATGTCAGCCTTTAATTGGGAAAATATGTATTTGGGGCACTGGGAAATGTTTTCATGTAAGGAAAATATCTTTTAGTTGTGTTCTTCAGAGTCTGGCAGAGGAAAGTGTTTGCATTTCACTCTTCACCCTAGCAGGAGGCTCTGGTTTTGTTTCAAGCTCAGTTCCTGCAGGGGTGTAGGCTGGGAAACAAGAGCCACAAAGGGCAAACTGGAAGTGTTCGTTCCACCTCTGGAGCTCTCCCACACTCCCATCTTAGCATAAAAACTTCTGTCTCTGATGCACGTAACAATATATGTGCAAATAATAATATTCTATGTGCCAAATGACTTGTTGATCAAACTCTTTACCAGTGGAATATTTGAAACATGGTAATTTTGGTTCTTTGTGAGGATCTTGTATGATCAATTGCAGAAAAGTCTCATTTATTCCGCTGGAGATGTGCTGGAGTGTCTTGTCTGCTGCTCCTCAGCTTCTGTCTTCTCCCTTGGCTGTTACTAAGTTTATTATTTACTTAATTAATGGTTGCCATATCTGGTTTTTCTATTTTAGATGAGGAAAAATAGAAGAGGAAAAAAAGAGTGTTTACAGGGGACATTTTGCAGCTAGAAGGAAGCTGAGTGCAAGGCCCTGCCTATGAATGGGGATGACTTCTGCTTCTTAAAAGGTGAGGGACACAATTAAGTTTTTGGCCTGACATCCACTTTTCACCAGTAGAACACAATTGTGCTGATTACGTTTGGTAGAAGGGGCTGAACATGCAGTAGATTAATTCTGTTCCTGGGCCTAGAACTGGAGCCTTTGAGCTCTGTCTCTGTGTCAGCTTGTGATGCTGGGCCCTAGAAGTCCTTTTTCTGTCACCTCCTGTTGAGCAGATGTTTATTGGTGAGAAAACTTATCTTAAGAGCTGTTAAGGTTTCATCAGCATAGTTTGGAAAAAGGTTTTGTATTTCATCAGCAATGCTTTTGAACAAAAGTGAAATCTTTGTGGGCTGATTTCAGGGAAGTTGCCAGGCAACTGGGAGGTTATAGCTTGTAGTCATACCTGGTGGCTTGTTGGCATAATCAGTTGATTTTGCTTTGCAAAGTAAAATAAGAAATTACTATGGTGAGATTGCCAAAAATGGAGTATTTTCCCATGTTAGGGAGGAGTTCTGTGCTTGGCTGGGATGATGGTACTTGGCCATGCTTGCCTGGCGGCACCTGGGGCTCCCTCCATGTTCTGCTGGCAGCACAGTGCCCCAGTTCAGCCCCTCTGCCCCAGTGTGCAGCATCAGGACAGATGCAGGAGCCTGGATTAATGCAGACAGTCTTTCATGTTATATCTTCTGAGTGATGGGTAAAGGAGCAAATCTACAGATTGCATGTGTGCTGTTTTAATTTGCTACTTAGAGGATGAAGCAGAACAGAGGCTGTGGTTAATACAGATTTAAAAAAGATAATGAGATGTTTTGCCTCCCAAGCTGGCATACAATCTTATTTTCTTTACTCCTCCTCGTCCAAAAAAAAAAAACCCTACCAAGCTCTTGTCTCCGATTTGTTCATGAATACAGTATCAAACACCTCCTCTGTGCCTCTGATGTGCGCTCCAGGCCGTGTGCCACTGTGTTGATTCATCTGGAGGATGCCCGGCATGTGAGTGCCTTGGCACAGTGTGCTACAGGGAGGAACCTGATAGTGAGAAAGGCAGAGGCAGTGGCATAATTATGAAGGATTTCTTCCCCTCATACTGCTTCTTGTTATTTATTCTTCTCTCCATGTTTCCCCTGGTTATTTCTCTTCCTGAAATGAAAATAACCTGGCAAGAAAACAATGTTTCCACTCCCATCATTTTTAGGCAAGGAACACCAGGCATGTTTTTTTTAGTGTTGCTAACTGACGGATGATTATTCACCAATATTTTTTGTTGAAGCAAGCAGGCTTGTTAACTGTGGTGACATTTTTAGTGATGCTATGATATCCCAGTGTCATTGTTGCTTGATTTATCAGTGTCTAAAGGATTATTTTGTTGAAAAACCTACCATGGATCTTGTGTTTAAGGCTGACTTTATATGCGTATGACTACAAGTGTGTGAATTTGTATGAAAATAAGGAACAGAACTGTTAAGATGCTTCTTCTGTTTTGGGCTTTTGGCTCTGTGTCATAAAATACAAACTGGAGCCTTGAATTTCCATGCTTTAAAATGGCATACTTAAACTGAGAAATACTGTAATTGAGATCAGCTCAGCCACAGCCATCCTTCAGTTTGCATCTATGTACTCCTCATCTTCTCCCAATTCCTGACTCACCTTCTCTTATTCCTATACTTCTACAGGACTATCACTTGCAACCTCTGCTCCCTCCAGCTATAGACAAAGGCTACCTTTGACCTCCCCAGCTTGTTCAGCACCACCTGCTACCCAGGCACACCTGGATCCACTGCTGAGGTTTGGCACATGGCTTTCAGGGGTCTTTGGAGGGTTACAGCCAGCGTGGCTGGAGGAGCGAGATGGCAGGAGCCTGTGGGGTCACCCTTCCTAGAAAGGGGTGAGGACAAGTAGGGATCCATTCCCTTGAAGAAAGAACACTTGGTGAGAAATCCCTTGGAGCAAAGCATTGCTGAAGGGTTGGGAATGAGAAGCCCAGGAGCATTTCCCTGCTCCAAGCATTTCTTGCACAGGAATGCAAGGTGCAAGTCTGTGGGCACAGCTTGGTGCAGCCCTGGCAGCTGGAGTCTGAAGCAGTGGCTAGGATAATGCGAATGCTGGGTATCTGCTTGGAGATGCAGCAGCCACAGACGGTTTGACGGAACAAAAATTCAAAATGGAAAAGATGTGACCTTGACGCTTTTTAAACTCAGCGAAAGCCAATGTGCTTAGATTTCCTGGGGAAAAGATGCTATTGGAAATTCTGTGTAAGTGTAAATATATGAAAGCCAAAGGAGGTAAAGTTTTTCCTAATTAGGATAATTTTTTAATTAAAAGCAGAAAAGCAGTCAGCAAGCTGAATGCCAGACACAGAGCACCACAGCTCCTCTGCTAAAGCAGGAGCAGATTTATTCATGGAGTGATGTGTCCTTCTCTTTTTCTCTCTTCTGGCCCCCTGGTTGCCCTCCCTGGGCAAAACCTCTGCACTCCAGGCAGTGTAGTCCAGCTTGGGTTGTACAGCATTGCTGGTCAAGATTATGACATTTCCCCTTCTTCCTAATTCTAAAGTGACAAAAAACATGTCAGTCTTACTGTGGCTCAGCTCACCCATCATCTCCAGTTCCCCAAAAGTCTCTCTGGGAAATTTAGGTGCTTTCCAGCTCTATGAAGTAGGTCCACAGGGTTTGCAGCATTAAATCCAGATCACCATGTTAAAGTTATGTAGATAGAGGGGACAAATATGCCTATTCTGGATAAGCCTGCAAAATTAGATCACCTGTCAAAAAATTGTTTTGTCCTGAAGAGAGATGGCAGAAAGGAAAGGCAGAGCACATTTTAGGACCACTTGGGAGCCCTTTATGTGGGTTCTGGCCATTTAGCCTTCAATAAAAAATGAATGCTAACCATGGCAACCACATCAGCCCCCTTCGAGAGAGCCACTGCTTGAATGAAGATGGGGGCTCACTGAAGAAAGCCTAACAAACACATGTAGACCTTTTACAGAGCTGTTCAGGAAAACAATCTCACTTGAAGAAGCAGACATAATTTCCCAGGAAGCATGTAAGAGGTAATGCAATATGCTGCTAGCTCTCCCTGCCTCTGCTGCCTGCCTGCTCCTGGGAATTGCTGTTGTTTGGGTGGTGCAGGGGGTACAGAAATGGCAAAGGCGAGGGCCTGCTACCTGCACTGCTGTGAGGGCTCGCTGCCCGGAATATTTTGGATCCTTGCCCATGAAGACTTCCCCAAAATCCACATATGCCCATTGAGTCACTGTTTTCCTGAAATCTTATGCCTGGTAGGTATTTTCCTGAAGTGCGCCCTTTTGCTTTAATCCCTGCTTAACCTTACAGAAAGATGCAAAAAATTTTGCAACATCTCTGCCTTGGGAAGTCTCAGGGATGTTCAACAAATTCTTCTGTGGCTCTTTATTCATGTGTCCCAAAAGCAGATTGAGGTCCCCTCCCCAGTCTGCAGGTTTGGATATAAAATACTAATAGATCAACCTTCTGGAAAGAGAATGCTTTGATTTGTAAAACTGGAGAGAAAATGTTTACCTGGGCAGTATTAGATTAGTCACAGATTAATTACAATTGAAAAGTATTATTCATCTGTAATAAGAGTGAATTCTTCACTCAAGATTCATAGCAAAATAACATTATTTTTCAAATAGAAGTAATTTAAATGGAAGTAAGACCTTCTAATGCCACCATCTGTACAAGTAAATTACTTTCAAAGTAATTAAATATGCATATCTGGGCTGTGTACTGTACTGATGAACCAAGTTTTATGGAAGCAATATGCTTAAAAATCCCTTAGGTATTAAAGATGAAGAACCCATGGCATTTTGCATTCATATAACCATGAATAAGAAAAAATATTTTCTCTGCTGCATAATTTTGGGGAATATATTTTTATTAACTTTTCCAGGTTAATTAATACTTTTGCCAAATAGCAAATACGATCATCATATTTATTAGTCTGACATTTCACAGGGACTTAAAGCTCTATAAGAAGTTCCAGCATTGTGTGTGCCTGAATTTATGATTGTGACACAGTCACTCATCTTCTGCAGATTCCCAGGAAGCAGAGCAGTGCAGTGAAACCGAAATCATTATGTTGACTGAATTCATTACTGCCGGACTTGTCCCTCCATGAAATAGCACTGCTCAGCCAATTGGGATTCATGGTCACAGCCCTTCATGGGATCATCAGGGTTTATAGTCCATAACAAATACAAATACAGCCAGGAACAATAACAGTCTGATACACCTGATCTATTACCCCACCTTGTGAGACTGTCGCGGGCGCCAGAGGCAGCGACGGGCCGCGTGTTTTCCCTTGTGCGGATGGATGGCACAGTCCTGTGGAAGCAGAGGCTGGGCCTCAGAACACAGCACTGGCAGCATGCTCTTCAGTGACTCAACCCCATCTTTGTGCTGGCAACACAATGTTCATGACTGCTGTGTGGGGGAGCTTTGAACATTTGCTGGAAGCATGTGAACATGCTTCTGCATGTGAACATGCAGAAATTCTTGCTTAAAGCAATACCTGAAGTCAGCTGTGTGGAGCGCTTCAGAAGAAGTCTGAAATCCCAGCTCAACCCTTTCAAAGCAGCAAATAGAGCTGTCTACATGCTACCAAAATGCAAGAGCAAATTCAAGCATAAAGACACACAGTCGACACAATCTCTGTTTGCAAGTCAGCCGCTGCATGCTGCATGTGATGAGTATTTTACATCAATGTAACATTGCTTATAAAATGTGCAGAGATTCCCTGACATCAAGTGATTTAGTCTACCTGCAGCACTTTCACAGTTGTCTCCTCAGATTAATTGCAAGAGTTTGACAACAGAGGAAGACAATAGATCAATTCTTCCTGCACCCCAAATATGAAATAAGAAATGGTGGCCTGAAACACAGAAAAGAAATGATGAAAGCTTCATTTCTCTACTCTACCTGTGCTAACACGTGTGAACTAATATATTGTTTCCACCCTTTGGGACTTGCTTATCTGTGTTTTAGATCATTCTTTGTGATTGATGGAGGTGGAGTTTGTATAGCCAAGAGGAGAACCATTAGAAATGGTTCTCTAATTAGAACGTTTCTAATCTGGGAGGTTTTGAAGCTTGGATGCTGTAAATTCTCACCTAGCATAAGGCAGTAGTTTGGTGTCAGGTTCAGCTGCATCCACTCTAATCGTGCACAAATATGATGGTGGAGGTAGCCTGCATGAGTTTTCTTAAATTCCCTTTGTGTATCTTGTCACCTTTGCCTCTTCTGTCCCTGAACCTCAGTTCATGCCCAGTCTGCAAACACTGTCATCTGCAACATGCTCTGCTTTCAGCAGTTCATTTTCTGTCCCTACCACTGGAAGACAAGACTTCTAGAAGATTTTCTATGAGGGTTGGTGTTGAAAGCGAACAAAAGGAGGAATTTAGGTGTGATTGTGCTGAGTGAATCCTTGACAAAGGGGCTTTTGGCTCTGTGGGCCAGCTCCTATCAGGGCTGCATATGAAAGACTTTTATAGTACTCCTGAGAAGGCCTAATTTTCAGGTCAGGGTCTGACCTGTAACAGACAATATTTACATAATGCTTATTGCTTTTGGGTAGCAAATTGCTTTTGGGAATTTAGGAATTATAGCAATAACGCAAAAGAAACTCTGCATGGCCAAAAAGAAACAATTCAAATGTGACTCACTTCAGCTTCTGAATGTGGCCACTTTGCCATGGCAAAGTCCATGTTTATGCTAAAAACATTCTTAGACTAGCATTATTAGCATAATGTAACACATTTCCCAATAATTTGAAAGTGAATCTTCCATGTGTTTGAAAATGACAAGGTAGGACAGGACATTAAAATCATCTTTTCCTCCTGTGTAACAGTGACTTGTGTTCAGTATGTCTCCAATTCTCACAGAGGCTGGAGCATTTTTTTTCACACCCTTTTCCCCCCATTTAGCTTCTAGTTTCTTAGACAAAATTGAGAGAACTTTTTTACTTGCCATGCTTTTAAAGCTTTAAAAGCTTTTGCTGAAAAGGTACCTATTTTCTTATCACATTTTTTTTTCTTTCTCTAGAAAAGGGCTTAATTTGAAGTTCTTTTTTGGCAGCTGTATTTCATTGTGATGCATTATGTCAGGGCACATCAGTCACATGAAGATTTATGGAAAAAAACATACCCTTTTTAGATGTCCCTCTCTGCAGCCCTCTTCAAAACACAGTGTTTTTTCAAGAAACTCAACAGAAAGTATCAACAGTGGTATGATTCTTGAAATATTTTGAGTGTAATGGCTTCATCTTACTCAATTATATAAATGTCGCTTAAAGAACGAATACAGAAATTAATGTGGTGAACTTAGTAATTCTAAAAAAATTGACCATTTTCACCTATTTGTGATGTTTACTTTTTAGTGCTGAGCAAAGGCTTCTCTTCTTTGTAACCAAGATAATCCTATGCTGTTCCTTATTTTACCATTAAATGAAATACATTCTGAATTCAGATGAAAATGAGGTACCTTGATGAAAGTGGGCTTCAGGTGTCGCACACTAAGCATTGTACATTTTTCTTTGCTCTGATCCTCCAGCACACATAAGATTTCACCTCTTCACCTTTGAACAAGATTGCACTAACTTTGATCTTTTCAATTTTGTTCAACTCCAGGAAAGGAACAGCTACTTGAAACATGTTATCATTTAGAGTTTCAGAGGTTCTTTAAAAAAAAAGAAAAAAAAAAGGAGGGGAAAGGAAAAAAAAACCTTGAAAGCATGAACTAAAAGCTGTAGATTTTTATCTTGAGCATCAGCTTTTGTAGCTAGTGTGTAATGGTTTAATGTCAAAAACTGTCTCCATGTAGAACAAAACAAAATACAGATTTTAAAAGCACACAGAATTATTAAATACAAATCTAATTTTTGGCAAGCATTTTTCTGCAGTAGTGATGTGGGTATCCTATCCCAGGTCAAAGCATAAGCTTTGTGTTCTTGCTCCTTTACCTATGGCCTAAACGTATTATTTGAGCCTCTGTACTTATGTGATACTAATTCATGGTACTGACAGTTAATCTATTTTTATAACTGTTATTATCTGAGGAAAATAAGGTTCTTCATTTTCTCTTCAAGTCTGAGAGCATCTAACAGTGGGGAGCAAAGTTAAAAGTATGATATTTTCAAGATCTTACATGGTTTAGCAATATTCTTAAAATGATTATCACCATATGCCAACGTGGTAGTTATTTTGCTATTATTTCAATATTATTTGGGTTTATTTAGGGTTTTTTTTTTTTTTTTTGCTATTACAAGACAGATTTTTCACCCAAATACTTAAAAATTTTAAATCACAGAGCACTAGTGTACCAGCACCAATGAGGCTCTAAAGTCCTAGGAAGTTTAATCAAAATTCTTAATGATTACTAAAAGTTTACATTTTTTTCCCATTGGCTCCTCTTTATTCTTGCCTAGTTTACTCAGATGTGCATTATTTCATCCCTGTCTTCTCTGCTGAGACTGCAGTTGTTTAGGGAGGCTCATGATAAGTAGCTCTTTGTGTCCATCCTCTTGCTTTATTTTGAGGTTTGCTTTGCACAACAGTACAAATGGGGGCAGTTTCTCCCTTCTTGGATGTGATGCTTATTGAATTTGTTTCCATTAACAAGCTGTTGGAAACAAGTTAATGCCACATTAATTTATTCTTACATCTGATTTGTCCTGCCTATTCTAAGGGTTGCTTAGACAACAGATCATCCCCTAAATATCTCATAAAAGGTCTGAATTCCACTCCCTGCAAAAGTGGAATTATGATTAATAATTTATACCACATTAAAACACTAATGACATAATTCATAAAAACGATGTTGATATGCAGGTGAAATTATTGGCATAGCTAATCTCTGCAGAGATCCTTGACATGGTTACTCGGAGGGACTAAGTAATATATTGCTATGCATCAGCTGTTTATCCACTTTTCTTTTTCTTCACAGTTTCCTAGGTGTTGGACAATGCTGGAACCAAGAACCTCCGAGCACGTTTCATCCTCTGGTTTCCCTGAAACTTTCAGTTACACCCTGAAGTTACTGGAATCCATGTTCTGTTCAAGGTATTTGCCTCCCCACTCCTCTTCAAGAGCCTTTGATCTGTTGTGAACTGAAGGTTCATTGAGACTTTCATTTGTTACTTTTCATAGCTCTGATTTCTTGAGGTTAATCAGATGTCTTATTTGGAGCTGTACTTGATTTTCTGGCCTCCCCATCACATGCCTTTTGCAGGTGAGCCCCATTTGCAAGCAACTTCTGTAGTAGCCAGTGCCTCATGTCACCACTTGGCTGCCACCTACTCAGACATCTCTGTGGGAGGTTTGTGGTGAAGCCATATGGGCTCTTGGGTCCTACAGGACGTTGGCAGGTGTAGCAGAAAACTTCAGGTTCTCTAGTGACGATGGAGTTAGCACCAGTGTAAAATCAAAGTGGAAATGTCCTAAAGCAGAAGTACTGAAAGAGAGATTAGTCACTGCCAGTTCTGGGGAGAAAATATGACAGCCTGTGAGAGCTGATCCTTTTAGTGTTGCCCAGGTGCCCAGCAGTGCAGTGTGTGGTGAGAAATTACCCGTGAGTGAGACAGGCTATTGCTTACAGCCTTCAGGGCCAAGAAAATCCGCTCATACCCCAGTGTCTGCTGGCTGTAGTTCCAGGCTCTCTCAGTGTCACAGGAGCAACCTGTCTGTAGTTTCCTTTCCCAGAGAGTTTGCTGCTGCCAGGAAGCACCCCCAGGAAGCACTGACATTTCCAAAGCACTCAAGCAATAAGCATGGCTAACAAACTCATAGATTTGTGAGGGTTTGAGGTAGATGTCCCCATCCAGGTTTAGGGGCATCATTCTGCTCCACTTAAATGCTTCCATTTTCCTAATTTTCCAGGAAAAAGTACAACCCCCAAATTTCAATTCTCAAATCAAAGATTTCTCATTGCAGAACAACACAAAATTTTTTGAGCAATACATTTTAATTTCAATTTTCTTGAGTACATGCATAACAAAATGATTGTGCTATATAGGACAAAATAGCTATCTTAAACTATTGTCTAGATAAATTTTCTTTTAAGAGTAGTTGGTAGTTGAAAGCTATCCTTATTGCACTGAGGGAGTAAAATCCACACTTATTAGACTCTTATTTCATCCTCTTTCCTATGGTCTCACCTTTTTGGCCCTGCTAACTTTCATGTCCATAATGAACTCCATTTAGCTTCCCTGCAGCAGGACCTTGTCTTTGTTAATCACTGACCCAGCGGCATGAAGCTGCATAGGAGAGCAGGTTATTTTTTTTTTCTGGATTTTCTCTACTTCCTTCAGCAGTTGTAACTTCTAAGAAACTGCAGAACAAACAAGTATAAAAGATCAGGAAGATGGCCTGAAAAACATAATGTTTAAAAGATGTTTCATTGTACTCAGTTCTCCTGTAGCTGTTAGCTACAGACTGATGGCTGAAATCTTAGAAGTTAATGAGATTAGGTCTTTGGCAACTGATTGCTTAATGCTGCCTTCTCATTGAGTGGTGTCATGTTTGTGTTTTTTTTACTTTTTTCTTTTTTTCAGTAACCACATATAAACTTATCATGGAGATCAGCTGAGACCTCATGGCAGAAATCTCGTTTGAAACAACTCGAAATTACTTCACCTTGGCTCAAGCCACATCACAGCAGATACTTTCTCCTCCTTCTCCAGCCCTGCTGTGAGCCAAAGGCGTTTTCTGGGCTGCAACTTTCCTGTGCTGAATGACCTTGAGCCTCTTGCTGCTGCCCTGTCTTTGCTTGGCTCAGCATGTGCATCTCTTGCTCTTTTAAATATGCCTGCATGCTCACCTTTGCTGTCTTCCTTTTCCTCCACAGATGAAGGTATTGGTCCTTTGTCAGGCTTTGAGACTCACACGTTTTAGCTCATAAATACCTATAGCAATTCTCCATGCTTTTGACAGTGAGGATTTTTCCACCTTATTAAAAGAATGTTGGTATTGTCAAACGCATAGTACTTGCCTACTAGTATGTTTCCTTTCTGCCCATGCTTGCAGAGCAAGGGAAAATTAGGTGAAAAAGTAGAGTAGTAGCATTTTATACTTGTTTTGCTGGGACGTAAATTTGCAGATCTGTGAAGCGGGGGAGAATCAGCGCACCGTGACTCACAGCACAAGCACAGCACAGTGGGAAGAGCCCAGCTTGGGTTGTGTGTATCCTTGCTAACAGGGAAAGCTGAAATGCTAATTGACGTTGCAATCTGCTTCAGGTCAGGTAAAGGTCATCAGACCCCTGCAAATGCTTAATCCTTCCCATTGAAGCTTTGTGGGATTCCCAAGGATCCTACAGAAATAGCCTTTATGTTTGTTTACATGGACAATCTCTGCAGGAAGCAGAGCTAGCAGAGTGGTGGTGGGGAGGCTTGGGGATGGCAGTGGTGTCAGAGGGATGGTGAGGCTGGGCAGAGTCATCACCCTTTGCTCTTTTTTTCACGTTAAACAACATGTAAATACTCCTGTAAAACAAAGCTGCCACTCTTTGCTACCAATAATTTCTCACATCTTCAGCCTCCTTGTAAAAGGTTGCATCAGCTTTTCCCAGAGGCAAGCACAAGCTGAATGTAACAGGGTGTAAGATGGGGTAGATGCAATACTGAGCACTGTGTAACTTCCAAACAGTGTGATGAAGCCAGTCCATACCTTCAGCAAGGTACTTTAGCACAAGCATAACCTAAAAGCTTGTCTTGCTGAAAACAGGGGCTGTGTTACACATACTGAGCATGCTGAAGTGTTCTGCTGGGTCGAGGCCAGGATGTTCAGCACTGTGCAGGCTTAGCCCTTCCAGATGTCTCCAAAGATAAAATGGAAAGAAAGTGACAGTCAGTTCCAGTCACATGGAACACAACCGGGTTTAAAAGCCTACTTTTGATAATTAGGTATTTTGTGTACTGTGGCAATATGTGAATTACAAAACCCCTAATAATAATGTAGTTCAGTCAGGGTAGCCTTGAAATTAGACCCCTAGCAGAGAGGTTGCACTGTATAATGATAGTACAGTACCATTTGTTTCAACACATTTAGCACTTCAGAATGGGATTTTTTTGTTAAACACCAGATGTTCTGGTGACCCGAGTGCTGACTCTAAGAGAATACACAATAGAATAGTGCGTCAAGGTCAATGGCACAAATTAATCTGTATTATCATGCTGTCATATTGTACTGCATGCCCCATATGAGCAAGATCTATGGCTGGTTCCTTCTTTACGTGCAACTGTATGGGGTGTTGCATACACAGATTTTGAGTTTCCCAAGCCTTCAAACCCCCCTGAAAGAAATCTGATTCTTGCTTTGATAGTTTAAATTGTAAATGTGACATTCTTACAGCGGGTGAGGGCTGTGTGGGTATGTGACTGTAATCTCACAGAACCAGAGAGACACGCAGGAGCACAGTGAGAATTACATCTCTTAATTGTAAATTCTGCCTTTAAGGACTTCAAAATAATAACCTATGTAACTTGGTTGTCTGCACTTTTCCTTTGACTTAACAATGTGATAAGGCACAAATGAATAATTGTTTACAAAATTTTAAATCATAGTTTATCTGCAGTAGATACTTCTGTCTCCATGAGTCCCCCATATTCCTTCTCCCTGCCCTGTGACTTCTAAGCTATTGCTGCAAGATGGCAGGATGTCAATGCCCCCCAAATTGAACCTGTGATTTGTTTTTCTTTGATTTATGGGCTTGTAGTCAATAAACTTTATAAAGGAAAGTATCAGACTGAGCAATCAATCAAAGATAAGCAGATTCTTGTCCTTTAAAAGCATTTCACCCCAGTAAGCAAGGGTCTCATTCATCTTTTACAACCACTCTTGCAGCTTTCAGCTGAGAAAGGACTTGCTGCTGACTACATTCCCTTCTGCTGAAAACTCCCCTGTTCTGAGCTGAGATTTTTAAAATTCATTGCAGCATTACATTTCCTTCCCATGTTTTTTGCTATCTCTAAAAGGGCAAATTGCATGTTGTTACTAAAGGTAAATCTCCTTGCTGTGTAGAAGAAAAAAGGCTTATGTTTTTACATGTGAGAGGCATGGACTGTTGTTTTACAGAAACAGTATTCATTTTCTTTGTTATTTTACAAAACAAAACATAAAAATAGGTTCCCATTTGTTTTTTATTAGTATCTGAATTTCATTTTGAGTAAGGCAAATGTTATCCTGCATGTTTTGCTTCTCTGAAGCACAGATGGTGTGCATATGCAGATTGGTGATTTTTTAATCAAAACAGTGACACTTGGGAATATATGTAAGTATTGTAATAATGCATTAGTCAGGAGTGATGTTGTAACACACTGAGATCATACACATAAATCTAAGACACCATGTCTAGACACCCCAGGGAAGATGGCATGCCATGGGTTAGAGCAAGCATTAAGGAAGTGCAATATTTCAAATATGATGGGAAAATAATGCAATTTGCAGACTTTAATAAAACCATTGGGGAATTAATTTTACTAAGGATACACTCTCTCCAAAAAACATCTATGTTTCTACATTTGCTTCATAGATAATCAGAAGGCGAGACACTGTACCTGCTGTCTCAGGCGTAAGCACAGTACGGTATCTATGAATTGTGCTGTACCTTTAATATGCTGAATATGAAAATAATCCCTTTATAGTGCTTTAGTAGTACAAAACTGCATTATGCAAACAATGCACAGGCAGCATAAACCTTGGAGATTCAGAATTTGAAGAGCTTTTAAATTAATCTCATAAGTGTTGATTTGGGCATGCTCAGCGAGTGCGCTCAGCTGTAAAACTTGACCGACCTAACCCTCCCAGTTTTAATTATTAGCTTTTTGATTATCAAATATTAAATGAAGAGGTGCAATTTATGACTTTTGCATGTATAATTTTCCTTTCTCTCTAAAGGTTTTCTAAATTTTATTTAAAGAATCCTTGCTGCCTTTGGCTGATTTTTGTTATTTGTTTTCTTGTATAGCTCTTGGTATATAATTTTAATCAGCCAACCACTTTTTAAGTTTTTGCCAGCTGATAACTACTCACAAGCAAGTAACTTGCAATACTATGCCAGGAATGTTGTGATAAAAATGTCAATTTAAACTTGGCCAAGGATGACAATCATAACTATTTCCAAGTGAAAAACTTGAACAGAATACATAACACTTGTTATGTATACACAGAATACAATAGCACTTGTTACTTTCTGCTAGTGTAATACATGCAGGAACTTTAGAGGTTCCCATAATGATAACCCTCACAGTCAAAACCCCACTTCAAAATTGGCTGCATTGGTGACTCCATCAACCTCATCATCTCTTGTCATCTCAAAGGCTAATAGTAAAAAATCTTCAATACAGCTGAACATTTCAATTAAGATATCATCAACACAAATGCTAGCTGTAATCAGTAAATGTGGCAGCTATAGAAGTCAGTGATTGAGGGAACTCAGGTTTTGCCAATAGTGACCCCATGGGTTATATCCTGACCAACTGAACTCTGTTTCAGAAAACTAGGTGCATATGTTACCATGGAATAAACCCAAGCAATTTGGTATTTGCTGTCTCCTCATCTGGGACATTTGCTTTTCCTCTCTGGGCTATAAAGACACTCATCCAAAATCCTTTATTAGGACAATAATCCAGTGGGAAGATATTTGAAATCAAAACCTGAAACATGATGGGTTGGGACGTAAGCAATACTTTGAAGTTGTCAGGAGATTTTTGGAAAAGGTGCGTTCACAGATTTGGGAGCAATATGGTGTAGTTGCAGTGTTGTGAGACTTCTCTGCACACAGCCCACCTCCTTCTTCAGAAAATTGTAAACTACCCCTTGTACTCAGTTTTTCCCATTTTAAAGTAGATTTAATCTTCTAGGATGTTCAGGAAATGTGAATGGGCTTCAGGGCTTGTGCAGGGGTATAAATACGTCTGCAAAATAATAATAGTGAGCAGCTTTCATGAATCTCCATGGAGATTTCTTCTCTTTGAGTATCTTCCAAGGTCTTTGCCATAGTCAGGGCAAAATATCTCTGGCTTTAGACCAATCTTCCTGTTGCCCTTTTCCTTTTCCCATCTAGCTAGTGCTACACAAATATTACTAGTGTATATTATATTTATTATATATTTGTTTACACAGTCTTCATTTTTTTCTCTTTCCTTCATATTCTCTTACTCTGAAATTTGATCTTTGTTGAATTTCTGTTTCCACCAGCACTTCATCTGTGTTAATTTTTGTCATCCTTCATATTACAGTATTACATCCTTCATTTTTCATATTACAGTCTACCCAGTATCACATAAAAATGCACTAATGTTTTAATTTCAAGATGGTGTTGCTAATATCAGTTCTTATGAATGAAATGTATTACATTCAGGTTCAATAAATATAATCCTTACAGTTTGCTAGAAAAGAACTCAAATCCTGGATTCTTCTATTCTGTAGAAGCTGCTGCAGTTTACTTTTAGCATTTTCCCCCTATTAGATGGATCTTTGCTCTACTTCTTGGTACATAGGAAGAGGTTCCATTTTGCTCTATAACTCCTGGCTGCATCCCACTATGGCTGATCTTAGCAGCACACTTACACTGCTCCTCCTCCTCATGGACATCCACAGCGGAGAGAACGGCGTGAGGAAGGTGGGCTTACCTTCTCTCCTGGTGCATATCCACGTGTGGTTTGGATCAAAACATGCTATAGATCTAG